CTACCTCTATGACGGCATCGGAAAGGGTCAAGAGGGCTCGAAGATGGCCCATGAGCGCACAAAGAGGGCCCAACATGGCTTCAAGACGGCCCAAGAGGCCCCCAAGACGCCGAAGGAAACCCCCAAGGTGACCCCAAGAGGCAAACATCGTCCCATTCCTTTCGGAAAACGTTCGTTTTTAGCATCATAGCTTCTTTGGTCTTCACGGTGTCCGAGATGGCCCAAGAGGCTCCCAAGACCGCCCCATGACGGCCTGAGAAGCCCCAAAGAGCGCTCCAAGACGGCCCACAAGGGCTCCAAGATGGCCGAAGAGAGCTCCAAGACGGCCCGAGACGGGTCCCAGAGGGCCCCGCAGTGTTCCCAAGAGAGCCCTAAGAGGGCCACAGGAGGCCACAAGAGGTCCCCAAGAGCGTTCCTAGAGGGCTCCAAGACGTCCCAAGCCCGCCAAGACGGCCTAAGAGGATCCCCTGACGGCCCAGGAGAGCCCCAAGGCGGCCAAATGACCCCCAGGAAGGCCTGTAAATGACATATTCATTGATTATCTCCAGGCTTTTTGTTAGATCTTTGTATGTCGCACCACAGCCTTCACACTAGCAGGGCTCCAAGACACTAGCTAGTGACCTCGCGCCCTTACAGAAAAAACCTGCGCTTTCCGTCGCTAAGCCAAGCAGGTAACGGAAGTGGCGAGGTACGAGTGATGACGTTCCTGTGTGGGGCGAAGCCCCTTAGGGACCGTGTCCAGGGGAGGGGCGAGGTGGGAGGGGATGGTTGTAATGGCCGCCGGGGGCCGTTTCCTTTGTTTTTTAAATGAAGTTGCTCCCAGGCAGCTCCCATGGCCTGTCTCTTAGTATGTGGTCGAGTGAAACGGCAAAAGGACCCCAAGACGGCCCAAGAGGCCCCCAAAACGGCACAAAGACGGCCCCAAGAGAGCCTCAGATGGCCTGTAGACGGTCCTAGAGAGCCTCGAGACGGCTCCAGCCAGAGGCCCTCAAGCGGGCCCTCGAGAGGACCCCAGGAAGCCAAACACATGGATTTCGGAAGGGTTTTTGAAGTTTTTTCGGGTTCTCATTTTTTCGGGCCCAGAAGGGCCCAACACGGCCCAGGAGGCCCCAAAGCTTGTCCCAAGAGGGCCCCAGAGTGCCGAAAACTGTCCAAGAGGGCCCCCAGATGGCCCACGAGGGCCCCAAACAGTCCAAGAGGGCCCCAAGACGGCCCCACGAGAGCCCCAAGAGGGCCCCAAGAGGCACCCAAGAGACTCCCAAGGGGGCCCGAAGAGGCGGTGTGGGGACTGGGCTGCTTGGGTGTTCCCTGAGGTCTTTCAAGGTTTTTGGGGTTCTCGCCTTTTCGGACCTAGAAGGGCCCCATACGGTCCAAGAGGTCCCGAAGATCGTCCCAAGACGGCCCCATAGGCCCCAAATGGCCCAAAAACGGTCCAAGATGGCCCTCCAGACGGCCCAAGAGGGTTCCAAGACGGCCCAAGACGGCCCCAAGAGGGCCCCAAGAGAGCCCCAACCCCAAGAGGCTCCCAAGAGGGCCCGAGGAGGCGGTGTGGGGACTGGGCTGCTTGGGTGTGGGGACTGGGCTGGCCCGAAGACGGCCCAAGAGTCCCACAAATGTCCAAAAGGGCACCCAGCAGATTCCCAAGAAACCCCAGAGACGCCAAGCAACACCATGGCTCCCAACAGCGAGCGGTGACGTAACAAGCTCTGAACACCAAGGCTCCCCAGAGCACGGTGACGTAAAAAGCTCAGTACAGCAAGGCACCAAAGAGCGAGCGGCAACGTAAAAGTTTGTGAACACCAGGGAACGGTGACGCAACAAGCTTTCAACGCCCAGGCTCCCAAGAGCGAAGGGTGCCACGAGCCATCTCTGGCCAGTTCCTGCAGCGTTTTTTCCGTTCCCGTGCCGGCCCAGGTGACGGAAAGAGCGAGGTACGAGTGATGACATTGAGTTGGGGCGAAGCCCTCAAGGGAGGGGTCCAGGGGAGGGGCGAGGCGTGCGAGACCGGGCGTTCATGGCCAGGCCCCCCCCCCCCCCCAGACGGTCCAAGAGGCGCCCAAGACGACCCGAGAAGCGCCCAAGACGGCCCAAGATCCCCCATGAGGGGCCCAAGAGCGCTCCAGGAGACCCCAAGACCGTCCAGGACCGTTCCAAGATGGCGACGGTCCAAGGGGGCCTTGAGACGCCCCAAGATGCCTCCAAGAGGCCTCCCAAGAGGGCTCCAGGAGGCAAACATCATTGATTTTCAATGGTTTTGGCAGGTTTTTCGGGTTCTGGCCTTTTCGCGCCCAGGACGGCCCAAGATGGTCCCAGAGGCTCCAACGATCGTGCCAAGACGGTCCAAGAGGCTTCCAAAAAAGTTCGAAAACGGCCCATGAGGGCCCCAGGACGGCCCAGGAGGGCTCCAAGCTGGCCCAAGAGGGCCCCAAGACGGCTCCACGAGAGCCCCAAGAGGGCCCCAAGAGGCTTCCAAGAGACTCCCAAGGGGGCCCGAAGAGGC